GAAGCTGCATTACCGTCGGAGGATGGTGATGATATTCCCATGATCAGCCTCCCCGAAAAGCAATTCAAAGACTACGACGATTTCTCGGATGATGAACGCGACGCTATAGGCGGAGGATCATCATCGTCATCGCAAGCTCATCGGCTCGTTCAGCGTATGACCCGACGGGACTTCAGCTTCATGAACCGAATCCCTGCACCGTCCTCAGGACTCCGTTCGGGACAGACGACCCCAGGTGGGGAGCGTGACCCTGACGGCTATGTCGAACGCCCAAGTCATTACCGTGGTGGAATTCTCTCAGCCCTCCTCAAACTCAACGATCAACGTGACAGCAACTCCCAGTACCAACGGGGTCGATACATGCATTCCCAACAGGGCAGCACCAGTGAGCTGAGTGCGCGAGGCCTGTCGCCGGACCCGAATTGGAAGCTTCCACCGCGTCCCAGGAAATGGTACGAGAAATCACCCAACGTATCGAGCACGTCTCTATCCGGCTCGACAATCAAAGAGTCAATTAGTTCGCCCATTGCAATGCTCAAACGCTCGCGGAGCAACAGTGGTAAGCGCATGGGGAGGCCACGTTTGGAGGAGGAGATTCGCATTACTGTTCACATCGCCGAATTGCTTGCTCGTCAGCACTATTTGGTCCGTCTTTGCCGGGCGTTAATGAAGTACGGTGCCCCGACTCACCGTTTGGAGGAATATATGAACATGACTTCCCGAGTGTTGGAGATTGAGGCCCAGTTCCTGTACCTTCCGGGCTGCATGATTATCTCGTTCGATGATACTTCGACACACACCACCGAAGTCAAGGTGGTCCGATCAACCCAAGGCGTGGAGTTGGGCAAACTGGCCGATGTGCATGTTATCTACAAGGAGGTCATTCATGATGTGATCGGTGTGGAGGAGGCCACTCAGCGGTTGGACGAAATCATGAAGCGCAAAGACCAGCACCACGTCTTGTTCCGCGTCTTCATTCACGGATGTGCTGCTGCCTTAGTGGGCCCCTTTGCGTTTAATGCGCGCCCTATCGACATGCCCGTCGCCTTTGCACTTGGATGCCTTTTGGGAGTGTTACAGCTGGTTCTGGCGCCCCGATCGGAGCTTTATGCAAACGTATTTGAAGTCTCCGCTGCTATCCTGACCTCGTTTCTCGCTCGCGCTTTTGGTAGCATCCGCTACAATGGTGAACCGCTCTTTTGCTTCTCTGCCTTGGCCCAGTCTTCTATCGCCCTCATTCTTCCTGGATACATCGTGTTGTGCGCCAGTCTGGAACTGCAATCGCGCAACATGGTTGCCGGATCTGTCCGTCTCGTTTACGCCATAATTTACTCTCTTTTCCTCGGCTTTGGTATTACTATCGGTACCGCTATATACGGTTGTCTCGATTCCACCGCGTCCACCGATTACACCTGTCCTCCCTCTCCTATCCCCAGCGAATACCTCCAACGATTCCCATTCGTCATCCTCTTCAGCGCCTGCCTCGCTCTCGTGAACCAGGCAAGATGGCGCCAGCTCCCTATAATGCTATTTGTCTCCTTCGCAGGCTACATTGTCAACTATTTCGCCACGAAACGCTTCGCCACCAACACCCAGGTCGCCAACGCCGTGGGTGCGTTTGTCGTTGGAATCCTGGCAAATCTGTACAGTCGCCTCCGACATGGCCTCGCCGCAGCCGCCATGCTCCCAGCCATCTGGGTCCTCGTACCCTCCGGCCTAGCTGCGAGCGGATCCTTGATTTCTGCCATTGAAGCGGCCGAGCAGATGAACTACTCCCCATCACCGTACGCAGTAGTCAACAACGGTACACAGGGCTTCATGGACGCGGCTAAGAACATGACTTCCGCACAATCCCGTGGAGTCACGTTCGATGTTGCATATGGCATGGTCCAAGTCGCCATTGGATTTACCGTGGGATTATTCCTTGCGGCCTTGGTGGTATATCCTTTTGGAAAGAAGCGGAGCGCACTATTCGCTTTCTAATCTACTCATCTATATACTTCTTATATATTCGGGAATTTGTTTCTTGCATGTTATACCTAACGACTATACTTGGTATATCCCATTTGTCTTGTCTTGTCTGGTTTGGCTTGGTTACTGTTGCATTTATCACGGTCCTTTGAGCGATTTCTTTTGTGATGATTTCTTATTTGTCTCTGTTTTTGAGCGTGTGTTTATGTTTGTTGGCTGTCTCGATTGGTGGTTATGTTTTTTGCATTGAATTTGCTTACGTTGGGATTGGCTTATTTGATGGGTCTAGCATTTTTTTTGTTCCATGTACTGTTACTAGCGTGTTGTTTCCCTTGAGCCTTGTCTTCAATTAGCATGTTTGTCTGAATGTGGTTAACTCAAAAAGCAAAAGCGAGGTTGTCTGCTATCTGTCATTCAGTTTTGTATGGTGTACGGTGTCAGAGTCGGTGTTTTTTGGCGCTTACAATCATATCAACAAATAATAACTTTCCTTCTTAATCAGTCTCTAATAGGTCCTACTATATCACTTTACTCAACTTCGTACTTTTGTCCTCTGTCCATGCCTCTCGTACTTGACAATTTAAGTTCGGGCTAATGTATCACATGATGTGGATCATTCGCCCTGTGTTCCCATTTCTGTCGATTCATGCCCGTTGACTGGATAACTCTTGTGTTCCAGTCTGAGTCAGGATCTATTCACCTTGTCAGTTGGTCTTATGACTCCACTGCTGGAGGGAATGGATCTTCCGGGAAGATCTCCCTCTTTCTGACTCGTCTCCGAGCTCTCTCCGCATATCTCGTTTTCCGGGGTTTGGCTGGATAAGAGTCAGATTAAACTATCGGGCTCAGCCATTGAGCTCCACTAACGGCGTCTTCCTTATCACCAACGATCCCCTGGCCCTATCACTGGCGATCCCCGGAATCCTTCTCGCCTTGTTTTTGAGCGAGGGCTGAGTATGCCAGCAACCTGGTTAGTCTATATCATTGGTTAAAGGAACATAAACCCAACACAATTCCAGGCGCCTAAGGCAAGTCAGGATCCGAGCTTACGCCATCACACAGATAGAATGTGATCCCTCACACTGCCTTGAATTATAAGGGTCTGATCCGCATGAATCGCGCGAGAATTTACAGCGGAATGCCAGTGATGACATTAATCACAGCGGCATTGAATCATGACCAGCAATTAACTGGAGAGACAGGGTATTGACACCAATAGAGAAACAAGCCCGCCCAGATCTCATGGCTAATGGAGGAAAAACCGGCGGTGTATTGCCGTTGTCACACGTTTATACCGACTTGGTATAGACTCTCCTTGCCCGGCGGGAATAATGGGGCTTTGCTGACTTCCCTGAAAAGGACAAAAACAGACATACTATTCGAGTACTTTCAACACAGGTTATCTCGAGTGTTGGCGCTCGTCAGCACATGAAGAGACCTTGAAAGTAGTTTGAATTGCAATTCTATCAAACTATCAGGTGTGTTTCCAGTCGTTATGGGAAATACGCTAGCCCATTGCCATTCGGTCTCACCATGTTCATTATCCGGGCGTGAGCGGTGTTATATCGACTCATCATATCACTAATTAGTCTACCGCTTGACGGAAGAGCGTTGGAAAATATAACTATGCAACGAGCAAGAGAGGCCTAGTGGGCTGTGACTAAACAATGATTTGGACACGTTGATATGAATATGGATACACACAAGTCATCTCGTCTTACCTGCTGATTTTGAAGATACAAGGTCTACATCACGCCCAGGACGAGCAACCGGGTTTATCAAAGAACAACAAGATTTGTCAGTTAGTAAGAAAGAGCTATGTTGCCCGATCTATTGATGAATACTCACCGACGACTGAAGACACATTGACTACCGGTAGAAGCAGACGCGTTCGAGCCACCGAATCCAGCAAAAACTGCGTTCTGCACAACGAGTATGACAAAAAAAAACGTGCTGAATCGGAAGCTCCGGTAAGAACAGCCAAATTTGAAAAGCCAGCCTTTACCAAGCGACATAGAGTTAACAACAATTGAATCCATGGGACCCGAATATTAACAAGTAAATGCTCAATATCGACTACAAAAGCGTGCTGATTCCAGTGGCTTCCAAATGCGGACACACATGTGCCCTGGGATTCCAACGAACTCCACGGATTCATCAAAATAGCTCACAGAACCAAAGCATCACACAAGAAGATGCATTGATTAACCGAGAAATGTTATTCTAAGGACGTCTAGTTCAGGCTGAACGACGGCTACGTGAGATCCGTGCTCAGCAAGTGCGCAGAATACAGACTGCATGAATACCCGTGCTAGCACATGTCGGTGGTTCCTAACGGCAGCAGAAGCGAGGACCATTGAACTCTCGCCCGTCTCATCGTGCATCAGCCCAGTAATGCTCCCACAGAAAGCATCAACTGGCCATACTCAAGGGAAGTCATTCAACAAGGCCCAGAGAAACGAGCGGTATCGCGCTCATAGAGCTTCCCCGAAACCAAATTCACGAGGTATTATCACTTCTCCCTTCCTATTCATGGGAAGATGTCGATGCAGAAAGGTCTACAAATTTTGGACAGCTCTGCGTACCATATACCGCGGTGATAAAAGCCAGATATGCGATCTACTAGTCATAAAGCTCCAACAATCAATGGTCTGGAACTCCTTTGGGCTAGAAGAGAGGGGACTCGAGAGAGTACAGATCCAAACTAATTCTACGGAATGCTTTGCTATCAACAACAAATTTACGCGCAATGATAGACAACAATTATTCCCTTAGCCGAGATCTGATCATGTAGAAGCCTATGTCTCGCTCCGAGACGAGTCTTTTTACGGTTGCATGTGACCGTGAAGCGAAGGCCTATAGCCCAAGGTACAAGACAAACTAAAGATGAGATATTCCTCGTCATTCGCCTCCATACGAAGACCCGAAGATGTCCATGTTATGACGCATTTATTGGTATCAATAGACTAGCAAACAGCGCAGGCCAGGAAAAATAATTCAGATACAACCCAGTATACATTCATCAATCTGTTGGAGTAATGGAGACAAAAGAATGAATAGAATCGAAATAATAAAATTGAGTAAGAAAAATCATATCAAGATTTGGATGAAAGCGTGCATATGTCCAAAACACACTTGAAAGAAAAATATAGAAGACAATTTCCAGTGTCAACATTTGTAATTCAGAAGGCAAAAAAATAGCGAACGATAAAAGCAAAATTCAAAATCATACACCAGTATGTCCGTTAAGTCTCTTTGTCACATTACAATGACGTTGTGCCATATTAAACAATCGGAGTCTTGCGCTTTTCGGCGCTGGATAACACAAGCATCGGAGTCTTGCGTCTCTCAGGACCCGGAGCTGCCGCCTTCTGTCCAGCAACCACTGCAGCAACAGAAGGCGTTCCTGTCGGTGACGAACCGTGATCCGCACGGACGTCCGCGAACTTGCCGGAGGGACCAAAGAAGCTTCCACCGTCCTCACTAGTGGGAGTACCGCTGTAAGGGCTTTCCGACTTGCGCTCCCGAGAAGATCTTTCCTTCCTCTCGGAACCAATGGCGCCATTAGCCGCGGCACGTAGGCTGCCCAAGCTGGGCTTACTGGACAGACTGCCGCTACGCACAGTAGCGTCGTCGTTATCAGAGAAGGTGAACTCTTTCTCGCTCGCTGGGGTGTTGGTGCCTCCACTGCTGTGGTATCCGAAACTGCGAGTCTCTCCGCGTCGCTCGATTCCCGCGCGCACCAGGTTGTGAACAGCGCGGCGTCGCTGACGCGTCGCGAAGTTCTTGCTACCTTCGTGCTTTGAAGTTGGCTTCGCTACCAGCTCCTCTATCGAGGGCGGTCCGCGAGGCTGGCGAATCGGGTGCTCACCCGCACGTCCTTGTCCGGGACCGAAGGTTCCAGTGGCTGGCGTTTGGGGCAATGCGGAGGTCTTCGGAGGCAATGCGGCGGTCTTGGGAACAGCACTGTTCACGGCAGTGTTGTTGGCCTTGGCTGTGTCAAGCGCCCTGGGCGCGAAGGACGAGCTCTTCTTGTGGCCTCTTCGGAAGGCGCTCGCAGACGGCGGGGGCAAGGGAGTAACTTCCTGGGGAGGGGAAGGACTGGACTTAGGGGGAGAAACAGAGCGCTGCGGCTGTCTCGACTCCGGCGGAGGGGAAACTTCAGCACGGAAAGTAGGAACGTGCAGGCCTTCTTGGGGTTGATCTCTCTGCTCTTCCTGGTAAAGCGAAGAAACAGCATCATGTTGCTGCTGCTGTTTCTGCTGTTGCTGGGCGGAATTGTCATAGATGTAGTTTTGCTGACCAGTGAGGGGGTTAAAGACAGAAAAGAGACCAGGCTGGCCAAGAACCGGCTGAACAATCGGCTGCACTCCCTGTTGGAGCTGCTGCTGGTAGAAGCCCATACCAGGCAGAGAAAGGGACGGAAGAGATTGCTGCGAGGCAACAGGCATTCCCAGGCTGAGACCCTGGAACTGCTGAGCCGCCGTGGTGACGCTGATCAGTTGTTGTTGCAGGCGTTGCTGCTGGGCTGCCAAGAACAAGTTGGTGGACATCATTTCCGCGTACAAGTTATCATCCATGGGCAGATCGGCGCCAACGTCGAGAACCGGAGGTGCGAGCACCTGCTCCGGTAGGGTGTACATCGGACGACCTGTGTTCGTATCTACATTCTGATTCGACGCGAACGAGTGGCGGGGAAATCCAGTTCCCGTCGCGGTCTGCGGCACACGCTCAGCAGCTCGGTCGGGACGAACAGCATACCGACGGTTGTCCTGACCGATCTGCTGCTGGTGCGTAGAAGGGATCGTCGCAGATTTTGGGGCAGTCCTCAAGCCAGCCAGCAGATGAGAGCGGCTGGTACGAGGAGTTTGAAGCGGCGCAGACGGCTGAGATTCGTCGATCGTAGAAATATGAGGAGGCGGAACACTCAGGCGTTTGATGTGAGAACCCTTTCCGCGAGAGGAAAAGCTGGAACTCGGAACGCCAATGGAACCACCATTGTTGAAAGAAGAGTTGTAAGTCATTTGAGCAAGACCGCCAGTGTCCATACTCGTGGTCGTAGATGGGAGATCGAAAAAGACAGAAAAAAAAAAAAAAAAAAAAAAAAAAAAAAAAAGATAACGCGAGCGAAAGTAAGTTCGTGAGAAAAAAAAAAAGTCGTATCGGGTAAACGATGTTAATCTCTGAAGGATGAATTAAGATATTAAGGGAGTGTAATGACGAGGACGCAACACGTGAGGTTTACCAACGTCGTTTGATTTGGCAAAACGATCGCTACAGCCAACGACCTGGTCCGAGTTAGTGACATGCAGCGCGATCAATGACGACAAGCCTCCACATACCTGTAGATTAAGAAGACGAAAGAATGAAGTCGAAATCAAAAGAGGAAAAAGTAGCGAAAGATTAAGGAAAATTTGTACAGCGAAGTACTTTCAAAATGATTTGTCGATAATCGGATCAAACGACCAAGATCGAATAGTGAAGGATAGACAACAGACGTAACTGAACGTCACCAAGAGAGGAGAAATAACGAGCTTTTGAGAATTCAGGAAGGTAAAATCGGAGCCTTCCGTAGCAATTAAGGATCGATGGAGAGACGACGCGTGGGAGATGCTCTGCAATCCCAGGCGAAAAGCGGTAGAAAAAACAGGCTCAGCAAGGCAAGCACACAGGAAGATGGGGAAGTGTCGAAAGAGGGATTCTGGGAGAGAAGTTGAGAATCGAGTCTATGTACGGAAGAAGTAGGTTCGAGTTTGGTCGAGCGAGTCTTCGAAACAGTCAACCATCAAGGATCGGACGAATCCAGACTGCTGACAAAGGCACGGGGAGATGCGTGGCCTTGGAGGGTTCTTGACGCGGCAATCTCTGCCAGACACTGTCAAATTGGAGAAGGGAGTTTGGTGGTGGAGCGAAAGGATGGAGGTGAGGGAAGAAGAGAAACGCGGTTTTCTCAGAAAAAAAGAAAGGGAAAAAATATGAAAAGCAAAAAAGGAGCAGGGAGAAGAAGAAGAAGGGGAGAAAAGATGAGAAAGAAACAACAACGATGGAGAGGATGGAAAAGAGAAGGAGGAGAGGAAAGAAGAAAAGAAAAAGGAACGAGATTCGCTTCGCCTTCGGGGGATTCGGGCACTCACTACGGCGGGCGGTAAGTCAGTTATGGCAGATTGACAGGGGTTGCTTAGTCAGGTACATTACAATACAGTCTACAAGTATTGATTGAGTCTATTCAATGACACTTGGAAAGAGACATCAGGTTCTACTGCTCTAAAGAAAGTAAGTCTGTGTTAATGCTCATTCTTGCATAGCATCAGAGCGCGGCTGAATGCCCGAGTACACCAAAGCATTCCAAACCCAACCTCACAGCCGAACGACACCAAAAATAGTAAGGTTTCATTAAGGGTAGAGCCGGTCTATGTGACACATACCAAGGGTGAATGCAGCTATTGTCCATAGTTTGCTCTTCACAGTTTGATCGGTTAGTTAATTTCCTGTCAAGGGCATTCTTGTGGACTAAACATATGCGGATGTGGCGGTAGTTTGCCTGCAGGGCGTTTAAGGGGAATTAGAGATCATACAAGTACCGTTGCACTGCATGAATGGATGTACAGATTAGGGATGCGTATACGGAGGTGATGCGAAGCAGAGAGCACTGTTCATAAATTGATCTGATGAACCCCGGACTTGGCGTAGGATGAACGCAACGCCCTACGCGTCTAATCGTATTACCTGAACACAATGTTCAAGCTAAGGTAGAAGGATTTAACGATATATCTTAGCAAAGCTCGAGCTTCAGTATCTCATACTGAAAGCACTCGGTACGTACAGGCAGTGCACCATACGGCTCTGCATGTATCGTAAGTAATCCACAACCACTAGTACCCGAACTATTCCATCCCCTGACCAATGGTGAATCACCGGGCTGAGACAACCGTCAACTACGCTTCTGGTAATTGGCTCGTTTCCGAATGAGCAAGAGCGTTGTGTGGGGAAATACGTGCAACTCTTATACCAATACAATATTACAGCGCCAAACACAGGTATGTACTTATATATCGCTATGTCTGCCTGTCTAGTTAACAATACACGTACACGATCGCCAGCAAACCCCTGAAAGACACATCCAAACCACCAAATCCCCAAACCCCAAGCCAACATACATCACCTATACAAGCACAAACACCATGGAAGCATGTAGAACATGTAAGTAAAAAACTGACCTGCACCAGACCCATCGCCCACCAGCCGATCATCTACTTCACGCCCATGATCACAGCCGCTCTGACCAACCAGATCCCCCAGGATTCACCGGGCGCCAACGTGGCGTTCCTCATAGCCAGCGATCGTTTATTGTCTGACCACCATGAAAGGAAACTGTCCGCCAATAGGCGTTGGTATAGGGTGTTTTGTGTGGTGAGTATTACTCAGGAATTGGTTTTGTGGCGATTGATTGGTTGGATTTGGGTTTTGGTTTTCTGTGGGTTTTGGTATTAGTATCGGCGGTCTATATTCTGCATTATGAAGCTCGAGTCGTGACAGGAGACCAGAAGATCGGTACGAGTCAAGTTCATATTTCAGATAAATGTGCACCTTTATTCTATGTAGTATGTACAGCCCAGGCAATGGTTGGTCTAGGCCTTGTCAGATGTAATAACACGAGAAAAAAAATAAAAATAAACAAAAGACGGGGTATCTGCTTGGCAGGATCTCTCAACCAGGATGAAATAGACAAGATAACGAAATGCAATCATGGAAATACTTATAGCAGTATGAAAATACAAATAGAGAAAGAGAAGCAAAAGGAAGTATCTCAAGCATCAACAGGTACCGGCCCAGGGAAAGGAAGTGATGCAGGCTCCTTATTTTGCTGCTGTTGCCGTTGAGGTTCAGGAGACTGCGCACCAGAGCCCTTGCCATCCATACGGTCAAATTCCAAAGTCTCGGCCAATTCAGCAGCCATTGGATCTAATTCATCCTCTTTCAACCCGGTTGCAAGTGCCACCAGTTTGCGATGGACGTCAAACTTCGTGCTCACTCCGGCGTCTGCAGTCTGTTGCGCGAGATCTTTTAGCGCGGTCCGGCGCACTTTTTGTGCTGAGCAGAGTTGTCGGGATAGATAGTAGGTCGTCATGAGTTCGTTATGATCTCTAGTCGATGGAGGTTTGTTGTCCTCCGACGCAGGTGCTTGTTCCAGGAGACGTGATTGTTGGACTTGTTCTAAAAGTGACTCGTAATTGCGCTTTAGTTGATCATATCGCCCAAGTTGTGCATCAACAGACCCGTGTTCTGCTTCCTTGGCCGCTAGAGCTGCTGATTGCCTTTGGATCTTCTGCCGATCCTGCTCCAATTGCTCGTACAAGGTCTCGGGATTCGCGATATCATCTGAATCCTGCTGGTTTGGTTTGATGTTTCCATAGCTCATAGCAAGCTTTTTGCTGGTTTCTGCCATAATAACACCAATCTTCGAAATCAAATCGGATGTCGCGGCGGACGGGTCTGGTGGCGGATCATCGACCTGCGCGTCAGTGTTGACCGGCTCAGTGATTTCCCCGTCAATGTGGTCATTACCCATCGTGATTGACGACGGAGCTGGTGGAATATCGCGTTCGGCATGTTGTGCTCGTTGGCTAATACTCGTGGCCGTTTCGCCCTTCTCGTTCACCAAATCCGATGCACGTGGGCAACATGTCAGGAGTAGGTTCACCAGACGAAAAGCCCCGTTTCGGGCTGCCACCAAGGCTGCCACATCGCCATTCGAGTCTTGACATGATAGAAGCAGGTCCAATTCGTCTTGGGAGCACATTTGGCGCAGCTTGTCCAACAGAATCTCGCAGTAATACCGTGAACTCTTCCACTTGCCCTTGCTTCTGGTGGTTTCGGATATGTGGTGGAAGATTGTCGCACCAAACCAATCTCGGAAAGACACTGTGTCAAAAAGTAAATCCAAGAGTGTCGGGAACGTTCTCTTTTCGTAGTTGTTTGTAAAAAGGACTGCGCGCACCAGTGGCGTTTCCTCATGTACAGACAGCGCTTTGACATCAGCACCCCTATGTAGCAAATCCCTCACAATCTCCAAATCACCCATTGCGCATGCCCAATGTAATGCGGTATTCCCCGAATCGTCAATAGGACGGTCCACTTGAAAGTTGGCCGGCGGTTCTGGCGGAGGAATCCGAGTGGCTTCTGGGGCATCTCCAACGGTCATGAAATAATCGAGAAGCTGATCTCCATAGAGTATATGCTCCTGTTCACTAAGTGACATTGCAGCAACTTCATTGATTCCGCGCTTCCGCTTCCGCGAGTATGCTCCACCATGCTGGGACATTGGCATCATCTCTTCGTCTGCCACCATTGACGATGACTCGAGGGTAGCCTGCTCAACCGATTCATCCTCTTCCATACCGGTGTTCATCTCGTATTGCTCGTGGGGGAAGCTCGGTGGCCCCATGGGGTAATGTTGCTTGACGGCGCTGAAGACATCTTCAGCCGCATTCGCATTCGCATTCGCTATCTTCCGGGCGTTCGCGGTATTCTTCGGGGCTCTGGGTTTTGATGCGGTTGAATGCTTCGGCGCTGGTGGAGGGCTGTGGTCCCCTGCTACATATTCGATGATAGGTCTCAATTTGTCAATTATGTTGTTACGCTCCGCGAGCTGACGGCCTTCGGGGAGCGGTATCCATGTTCCTTAAAGTTTCATGTTAGCACGAGGACGCGATTGAGATGCTTTGCCTGAGAAGATATACCTTGGTATTTTCCATAACCACCTTGTACTTTTTCGTGGACTCCTTTTTGGACCTCGCGCTCGAGAATGCGTGTTCTTGCTGGCTTGTCGAATCCGGCAGCTTTGAGTATATGTGTCGCATTTATCCAATCGTCACTCCGCCTCCGCATAACACTGTCAGTTTCGAGCTTGTATTCATATACTGGAACCTAGGCAATGTCAGTTACACCGCGCTTCCAAACAAGGGACATGAGCCAGACAAGGATAGTCGAAGCTATAGGAAATAAGAAAAGAGAAGAAAAAAGGAAAACTCACATTGCTATATGTAGCAGAATATATCTTGGAATAATCCACATCCCCCATGATGGCGACAGTGTAAGGCGCTTAACTGTTCAGTAGGTTGCCGAACGAATAACAGACCAGTCGGTATGTAGCGCCGACGCGGCCCTGGACCACAGTCTCAACGGTCTTCCCAACCATCATCAGCGACATAGCACAAACACACAGCAATTGGTTCTCAAGTTATCACATACAGTATTGAATTAAAGAATTGTCAGTAAATCAGCCACGGGTGGCTCGTAACATTTCGATAACGCGATGGTTTGGCGGACGGAGTGAGACGGAGACGCGCCTTGAGAGCCAACCGCGTAAAGTGGCCTTGGCGGCACTAGTCCTGATACGGTGGTAGCATCACGTGGTATCACATGACCTATATCGGAGAGCGGGAACGAACATCACCGCGGAAGCTCAAACCTCGCCGGTCCAAATACAGACGCCCCCTCCGAACCTTGCTTGATCTGCACCGCTGTCCTGCCCAAGATGACTGTTGCTGAGACCATCAAAAACACCGTTGGCCTTGGGGATGGCGCCGGTATGACTTCTAACCTTTGCCAATTCGAATGACATGGTGTTGTTCGATTATTCGTCATTGGACTCGGTTTATTGACACTCTCATACAGTTGCCTCCCGACAAGAAATGTCCGACGCACGTCTCCCCCTCCAGTACCGTGACTCGTGTGCGAACCTCCTGATTCCGTTGAACCGATGCCGACAGGCGGAATACTACCTTCCCTGGAAGTGCGAGGTACGAGCCTTCGGCTATTCCCATACTATGTCTAGAAAAACAGGTTGATTAATATAAATTGCGGTTTCAAACAGGACGAGCGTCATAGCTACGAAAAGTGCCAGTACGAGGAATTCAAGAAGCGTGTCGCGAAGATGGACGAACTCCGTGCGGCCAAGGATGGTGCCCGGAGCAATTGAGATAGTTGCAGGTGCATATGGCGGAATCGTCGAGACGAAGCAAAAGCAGCGGGTTATGTACATAGCGATTGTGGAACAGCATTTCCATTCACACACAGAGTCTGGCGTTGGGAAACCTTTGAGACGATACGTCGATACCATCCCATTGAATTCCTGGGCCCAATTGGTTCTCAGCCTCGTCTGTAGTGTCTGATGATATATCCTGTCGGTGCGAGGCAGCAATGATCTGTGTTCATAGGCGGTACAGATGGTGAGGCTCCCGTCATCGGTTAGTGAACCGAGTGGTTACATAGCTGTGTTCCTGCGTCTGGTTTAGCCATGGAAGGGAGTCAATCAAAGCCATGCTAGCTTCTGCCTTGTATTTCCAACTATCTGTGCAAAAAAAAAAAAAAAAAAAAAAGTGCTATATACTGCAGTTAGAGCGCCGGGAGATCTCCGTAGAGATCAAACGAACCAGCTGCCTTGTATTACAGAGTGACAAAGAACAAGACAGGACGGGGAATTTTACTCTCTTCTTCTCTGCTCCCCTTCTCGTCTATTCTTTCCTTTCGTAGAATGCTGTAGATCAAATAAACATCACATGATCCCCCCTCCGAATGCTTAGAAATCCAAATCTGCTCCTTGAATTTTACGCGGCGCAAACGGCGTTATGGCCGATAAATCAGACGCAGTGCATATTAGAAACGCGCCTTTGCCCTCTACAGAGTTCAGAATTCATCATCTCACAGCCAAGCAGAGAAACAGTGCAAAAAGGAAGCAAAAAGAAAGGCGAATCCCACCGTAAGCCATGAATGATTCTTCCTGAACAATCAATTCTGAGCGGAGACAAGGCCGGGCTTAAGAGGCAAAATCATATCCCCGCGGGAAAAGCCGTGACATAAAGTCGACGACAACTTCTACATACAAGTACTTCCAGGTTTCTAGGATCTATTATTAACATTGCGGCGCGTTCAAACGTACGATTGTGTGTCGCTTCTTTTTCCTTTTATTTTCTTGCCTTGTATTGCGATAGAGCAGGGGTCTGATCCCCTCATGTTCCTCCGCGGGGTTCCCGGCATCCAAATATCGCAAAGTTCCGTCCTGTGTTTTCGCGAGGTTCTGTGTACTGTTAGCACTTCCTGATTATAATATGGGCTTATTGTACGTTACTGTGTCCAATTAGAATGCTGACACCGTGGAAGATTGCTAATATCGCATGTTCCTTTTCTAGAGCACTCGGAACGGCCTTGGAATGGCCGGAAGCGAAGAAGAGAGCGCACCAGGTTCGCGAATGGGGTATCGAGGTACGACAGGCTATATTCCTCGGGCTTGCAAAATAAGCTGAGCTAATGGAGTTAGCAATTGCTTGCAATTTGGAACAGAGCAAAGGGGAAAGAGAGGGATGCTCTTCTTTGGGGTGACGAGGTGAGTTTTCCGGCACGCGCTCGGTTACAGTTCTCTTGCTAATTCTTGTCCTGCTGTAGGTCGAATACCTCGTCGTCGCCGTCGATGAACATGCGAAGAAAGCCCGGTTATCCCTAGCACAAGCCGATATTCTTAAATCACTGGCCCGAGACGAGGCATTGTGGAAGTCAGACGGTGGAGAAAATCAAGATGGAACAGGGTACGTGACGGTCGACGGTTTGGACACTACATATGATACTGACGGTGTGTAGGGCCGGTTCTGAACCACCGCATTTCCACCCCGAATTTGGACGATTCATGTTGGAGGCTACCCCGGCAAAGCCATGGGGGATTGATTTCAAGGACCTGCTCAAGGTCGAGGGCAATATGAAGAGGAGGTAAGCTGGACTTGTTCAAGAGGATTCATCCAGTTCTAATAATGTGAAGACGAGACGTTGCGAAAGCGCATATGGCACCGAACGAATACCCAGTCACCATGACCACGTTCCCTCGCCTGGGTACAAAGGACGACTACATTCAACCATACTATCCCCCGTCCGGGCCAGCACTACGCTCGCAATTTGTCCCCGACGAGATTGCTAACCCTCATATCCGCTTCCCGACTTTAGCTGCGAACATTCGGTCTAGGAGAGGTCGAAAGGTAGAATTAAACGTCCCGGTCTTCAGGGACACGAATACACCCTCCCCATTTAAAGACCCGACTGTGGACTACGACCTCCATATCTGGCCCGAGGACGATGATGTTCGAAACGGAGCTGCCAAGGATAATCATGTCTACATGGATGCCATGGCTTTTGGAATGGGTAGCTGCTGTCTTCAGATAACTTTCCAGGCGAAGAACATCAATGAGGGGAGGAAGCTCTATGACCAATTGAGTCCTCTTGGTCCGATTCTTATGGCACTCACTGCTGCGACCCCAATCTACAAGGGTTTCCTTGTAGATACGGATTCTCGGTGGAACCAGATCAGCAGAGCTGTTGATGATAGGACTCCTGAAGAGCTTGGTGAATTGGTGAGTTACGGTTGTCATAATTCATTTTGATCTCTTAAAGCTAACACATGGCAGCCCCTCAAAAATGACAGATGGAGGATACCCAAATCCCGATATGCCTCAAATTCAACATACATCTCCCAAGACCCTCGATTGCGGAAGGAGTACTTGGATCCAGACCTGGTTGTAGACGAAGACATCAAGAAGCGTTTAATAGAAGGCGGCATGGATGACGTTCTGGCCACTCACTTCGCACACCTCTTCATCCGTGACCCCTTAGTCATTTTCTCCGAAGATCTCGAAGAACTCGACCTTAACAAAGCAGACCACTTCGAGAACCTGCAATCCACAAACTGGCAACACATGCGCTTCAAGCCCCCGCCACCCGAGAAGAACGATATTGGCTGGCGAGTTGAATTCCGCTCCATGGAAGTTCAAATGACGGACTTTGAAAACGCCGCATTTAGCATCTTTATAGTCCTCGTCACCCGTGCTATCCTGAGCTTTGACCTGAACTTCTACATCCCTATCCAACGGACGACGGAGAACATGGAAACAGCACATGCTCGCGACGGCGTTCTCGACAGCAAATTCTACTTCCGCAAGGATCCGTTCCCCCGTCGCGTGCGCAGACAGCAACACTCAGCTAATGGTAGCAACATGTCATCTGCCACTTCGTCGACTGTTAACACGCCACCCCCATCACCACCGCTTGCTCCGGTAGAGATGGAATACGATCTTATGACAATTTCGGAGATTGTCAACGGTTCAGCAGACGGGGAGTTCCCTGGGTTGATCCCTCTTGTCGAATCGTACCTGGACAGCGTCAACGTGGATGTTGAAACGAGATGCTCTCTCGCTAGCTACCTTGATTTGATCCGGAAGCGGGCCGACGGTACGCTCTGGACTGGAGCTCGTTGGATCCGGGAATTTGTCGCGAAGCATCCGGCGTACAAGCAGGACAGTTCCGTTTCAGAGGAAGTCTGCTACGATCTTGTCAAGGCGGTTGATGAGATGGCTGTTAAGGAGGGGAAGAATGGGAGTGTTGGATGGGAGATGCTCCGGGGGAAAAGAAATAGATCTTCATAGATATGATATCAATAGCACGTTCATATAGATTCAATCATGTTATTTCATGCATGTTATTCCATGCATATAACCAGCCCTTTTCCTCCACATCCCAAACTCAACCCCAACCCCAAACAACTTAAGCCAACGAAACCCTCTCCTCCTCCGTCGGCACGCGACAAGAATCCGCCATTCCCGTAACTTTCCACTCTCCCCCAACCTTATGCAACACAAACAATTCCACCCCCACATGATTCACCACCCCATTAACCTTCGCCCGAAATGGCGCCCAAACAAACCCAAACCCCATCCCCCCGTCCCCCGAAACCGTAACCTCGGGATCCCAAATTCTCTCATCAATCTCATCCCTAAGCCTGGAAATCTGCTCCACGAAGGAACCGATTGTGCAGAAACGCGGAACTGCGGGGGGTGGTGGGAAGAGCGCCATGCCGCCGGCGCGGACGCAGTAGCGGTCAAAGTCAGAGCGGGATTTGGAGGAGAGGGCGGAGAGGAAGCCGGTTGTTACGGAGAGCATGGCTTGGGTTTCGGTTTGATGGGTTAGTGATGTGGCTATGGCTGTTGCTGTTGCTGTGTCTGTTTTGGTTGTTGTTGGGTTGGAGGCGGATGGGAAGGTTGTTGGGGTTCGTTGGGTGGTTGGTTTTTGGTTCGAGGGGAAGCACATTTTCGTATAAAGGGCTTGATGTACTAAAGATAATTGTATCGGAGATTAGGAGTTTTTTTTTTTTTTTTTTCTCTGGGTCAGGTCTTGGTTCAGCTGGACGCTGGTTGAATATGAAATAGACATAGTCACCATCTGTACCACCTAGGTTCTTATGGTCACATGCAGTTGCTGTCACCTGTACTTACTGTCATACCGTGTCTAGACATGCTTGTGACGAGATGACATTATTATGTTCAGTTAGGTTGTTCATTGTCGCTCACTAGTAGCCCTAGCCAGTGGCTTCCGGTAGGAAACGACTGTTTGTAACGCATTTGAATCACCTCTTTTTCCCTTGCTAATAGTAGCATAAATCGCAGAAACAGTTATGTATGAATAGGTCCTTGTCAAATGGGAAGTCGATTTGTTGAGTGCCGATTGCCATAGACAGTACAATTTGCTTCGCCAAGCTGTCAACCTACTGACGCTAGTGAACGTTTTCCATTTTTTGGTCACAACCCATCTCGTTTGCTTTCCTTCCTGTCACACTCTCTTCCGGCTTCTCTCTCCGTGTCAAGCACCCCTGCGCTCGAGCAACAAGGCCGCCTGGAGACGATTAGAACCCCCTGCCATGCTCTAGGCTTCACCGAGACGAGTACGGAGGCTTGGTTGGCTGCTTGATTCGCTGATTTCGATTGTTTTCACAAACTCGCCAAACAAGCCGGAAGCCAGAGAGTCCAGGAGGTATTCGCCCCAGAGAGTACAGTGGTAAGGGAAGTTCTGCGGATGTGTAAGTTACACTCAACCTTCGAGAGGTATTCGTTGACTCTTGTCTTAGAGATGAGCTATGGCAGACATGAGGATGAGAGAACCACTCGTTACTATATAATTGAATCCGTTTTCAATCTTCAGACGATGACTAACAAACAATCCTAGGTCTTCACCATAGACAACGGAATCTACGCTGCGCTAGACACCAACAAAACCGATGCCTACACCATATGCCCTCCAGTCCTTAACGACAGCCCCAGTTCGTGCGCCAATTAATTACATCACCTTCGGACTACACATAGGAGGTGTATTGGGACCTCGGGATGTTTTGTCTGAAACCTATCGCAGAGTCAGGAGATGCGACGTGGCTGACTGCGGACATGTACTGAATGCCGAATCCATACGGGGAGGTCAGCATGAGCTTGTGTTCTTGTCCATCTCTACTGAGTGGTCTTGCCTCCGCGCCGAGTCAGGGCTAGTTTTATAATGCAAATCGTAGGAGGATTATTTCGGGTATAGAATCATGATGACAACCCAAATCCTGTTGAGATGCCGCTTGTGTTTGTCGGCTTGTTCGAGTTGCGGTAGGTTTGGGATCGGATTGTCTGACTTGCCGGGGTTGACGAAAAGTACGGCCATGAGGACTTGGGGGATGAAAACGAGGTAAATGCTGCTGCAACGCCTCTACCACGACAGAATGACAATCCCATATAACTCTTACACTCTAAGGATACCTTTTCCGACAATTCAAATAAAATCGGCAGCGCCAACTACCTCAATACTACCTGCACTATCACATCCACCCCAAGCCCTAGTGAGCTCCTCGATTGATCGTGAACACTGCTGAATTACCTGTTGTCAAGATGTGACTTCTTCCTGCTCTCAGGTAAATACAAAGGAGGCCTGGTTAAATGTTATTAAGAGATGTTCAGATCGCATTTTGTTTGAATAAAAACCCCCATCCGCTGCGTGCTTTAAATCATACATCAGCACACCTCACTCACCTACAACCCCATTCGCACAGGAAGAAGACAAACCAACACGTATTCGATGATGAAACTTTGAATCTCAAACCTCGGAATCGTGTTCTGAGATTTCGGCCGGCGTTTCAAGGAGTCTTCGTTTAATGAAGGGTTTAGTTATATCGTCCGAGTCGAGTTCCGATTTCGCGGTGCGGAGGAAAAGAGGTTGTAGTTTTCTGTTTCTATTCTGCTGTCTGGTACATGGGAAAAATGTTGTTTTATACGGTATTTTGTTGCCTTTTTGTTATGTTTCTGTTTCATCCAGAATCACTCGGCATACATGACGGATCTATGGCGGTGCATGTCCTGTTGTATAGAAGGCCTGTGATTTAGCAATCTTCTATCTGCACATAGCCTGCAGAGCAGGATACGGAATACGAGAGATGGCGGAAGATTACCATATCAGAAACCTTGAAACACCCTTCTGCTACTTGAACTTCTATGCATAGGGTATACACACACACACTACTACATATTTATACATAAAGCCATCTACTCCAACATCGGCCTCTCCATCTTAACCGCCTCCTTCAACACCCTCTCCCTAACCCCTCTCCGATAATCCCCCCCAAACCTCCCCTCCTCACCCCCTTCCACAACCCCCTTCTCCCAATCAGCCCACTTCAGCCACCTCCACCTTGGCCACAGCACGGCCATCACCCGTCCTGTAATCAACGACACACTGACTGGCCCGTACGTATTACTATCAAGCGACTTCCTCGGATCTTCGGCATCGCCTTCTAACCAGACGTGGTTAAAGGGGACGATTTGCGAGGATTTCATGCACGGGTCTCGGGTTGTGATGCGGTCGCCAGGGAGGCCGACGACGCGTTTGAGGGCGGTGTGGGTTGGGTTTGCTGGTGACCTACATTTCACATCCATTAGCACCTTTCCCTCGTTCCAACATCCCCTCCATCTCAGTTATAAAACACGGGGGCAATACCGAAATGTAACAACCATCCCCCTCTCCAACCTCCTCTTCCTCTCCCAGGGCCACCCACTCCCGCCCCACGGCCACATATTCACAAGCACCATATCGCTCTTCGTATGCATCGTCTCGTAGTCCTCGTTGAGGTACGGCGTCATTGACGGCCCCCGCACCCACATCACCTGGAAGACATGTTCTGAGAAGAAGATCCCGATTGGGATGGCAGGGACGAGGAAGCGGAGGACGCGGGCTGTTGTGCGAACTTGGTGGGGGAGAGAGGTATAGGTTTTTTGGAAGCGGGTGAAGAAGGAGGGTCTGCTCTTGGGGTTGTAGTTGGAGTTGGAGTTGGGGGTGTGGCTGTAGCTGGAGGGGTGTGATTGATGGGGTTTTGCGGCAGAGGATGAGGCAGCGGCGGGTTCGGAAGGTGAGGGGGATGGTTTTGAGCGAGATTGGGCTACTTCGGGTGAGAGGACTCGGAATTTGGGTGCTGTGTTTCCTTTGGGAGGTTGACGTCGAGACATGATGTTGTGCTTGTCGTGTGCGGAGTGGACGACGGCTATGCGCTCGAGGGAGGTTGAGCCAATGGAAACTGAGCCTGAGTAATTTGAGAGACTGGCTATATTTCTGTATAATCAGTTCATTTTGTCATTTTGTTATTTTCAAGCAATTGGAAGATTTGTTTGCGCGAAGAGATCACTGATATCGGAGTTCCGCGTGTGTTTGCAGTGTTTGCATTGCCATGACGAAAGTAGTTATTTCAGTGCCTTGCACAACCGTAACTCAGCCAGAAAATAGAGATTAAAATAGAAAGATATCATGAACAGAAGAAAATCCAATCAAATTGCCACAGCTCAATCCCATGCGCCGATTCATCAAACATAAAGTCGCCGTAATCCCATCCATTCGCGATGTCAAAGAACTACCAATCTTTCTCCAGCATATTGCCTACTGGACGATATTCATGAGATCCATCCATACCCAAAATCCCACTAGACTGTACACTGTGCACGTCAGCCGCCGACGAAGCACGATCAACCTCAACAGGCTCATCATCCGTTTCCTCAGATTTATCAATTACTTCGGAACTCCTAAGTCTCTCAAACTTATCACCCTCGTCCTCGGATCTATTGACCTCCTCCCATTCATCCTCACTTCTCTCGTCGATCATGGTTATGCTGCTATTTCCAAGTTCATCTGAATCAAGTTTCTGTCTCTTAGCTTGCGATTGACCGTCCAGGTTAGGGTCCTCGGTGGGCGGATCAGGGAGCTTGGCTGCGAGGATCTCAGGCGATGGTGAGAACTCACCATCGGCTTTCTGGGAGTTTTGCTGGGTGCTTGATTGGGGGAGGTCCTGTTCCGTTGGTGGGAAGAATTTACTGCAAGATTTAGCTCAATCCACGAAATACTCATCGCGAAGGGAACTTACGGAAACCACTTCTCATAGGCCTTTTCATCCTTGCGCTCAAAGTTGCAAAACACAATCCTCTCCAACTGGCCTATGTTGTCCGGATTCTCCAAGAACTGGCGTGCCTCGTCAAGCGCAACCAACGCAGCCTCCTCAGAGGGATATCCATAGACACCGGTACTGACAGCCGGGAAAGCAATACTCCTCATATTGTTCTCCACAGCCAACTCCAAGCTGCGCCGGTAGCAGCTCCGTAACAAGTACTCGGGCCATTCCTCGAGACGATACACGGGACCAACGGTATGGATGACTTTCTTGCAGGGGAGGTCGTAGGCGGAGGTAATTTTCGCGTCCCCCGTTTCGCAGCCGCGCAGGGTACGGCATTCGTTATACAGGTATGAACCCGCAGCTTTGTGGATAGCACCATCGACACCGCCGCCGCCGAGAAGAGATTCGTTTGCTGCGTTGACGATGCAGTCAACTTGCAGCTTGGTTATGTCGTTTCGAATGAGAGAGATTTTATCGTTGAAAATTTGCGAGGGGCTCAGGGCTTGACTTGTAGCTGGAGCTAAGCGCTTGAGTTTGTATAGTAGAGACGCGGTTGGGATTTCTGATAGAGGGACAAGTGACGCCATTTTCTTGATTCGTTCGTTCGAAATGTCCGTTCCTTTCTGGAGTCACGCGATAAAAGTAGTACACAAAAAAACTTCTAAATCAGATGACTTTGAAGGATACAGATTAAATTGAGAAAGCGTCCGAATGCCGTCACAACTGTCAAGGTGGGGAGCTTCCCCGCACGTGACGCCATATCTTATCTTGTGTAATTGTATGGTAGATTATCTGATAAGAGCTGTGTTTTGTCACATGACTGTATACAAAAGCCCTAGATGTCAGTGAAATAAAACACTCAGCGATGGTTGTCACTGACAGTCACACCATGTGTTTATACGGGAGGGAATTACCCCTCCACCCTTCACTGCAGCGCGTTGTCTAGCACCCCCCAATCCCAACAACACCACACCACCTAGCTCTACCTCCCTTCAACAGACACCTTCACAACTACGTCCAACACAAATTGATTAACGATGAACCTCAATTTCCACCTTGCCAAAACCGATGAATTTCCTAACATTCAGCAAACCTTCAAATATAACCTCCGCAACAGCGTCATGGTCCTCGCCCGCGACATCCCCTCCACCCTCGAAACCCCCCAGAACAACATGCCCTTCCCCACCGAAGACGACAACACCTCTGTCCTTTCTACTTGCCACCCCATCCCTATTTTGTTTGCCAGAAGCCTTACCACCGGCACCGCTACCAGTATCGCAAAGGTGAAGAACGAACAGAAACCCCAAGTCGTGGGCTATGCCTTCCTCGGCCCCTGCTTTAAGAACACCATGCGCAACGCTTCGGAGACTCGGAGGGTGAATAATATGGTGTTTGAGGGTGGAAAGTCGTATGTTCTTCTTCCTTTATTTTTTTTATTTTTATTTTGGTGAAGGGGGTGGGTTATGGCCGGGGCTGATGCTAGGTTCTAGGATTGATCCGGCGAACCTGCAGTTTGATTTTCCTGATGATGCTGGCGATGGTGACTCTAGCAGTGACAATGATAGTGGTTACAGTGGTGGAGACGGTGATGGTGATGGTAGTGAGGCGGGTAGTGTTGAAAGTGAGGACCGCGCTGGCAGTGAAGGAAGTGCAGCGAGTTACGACAGCTATGGCAGTCAGAGTAGTCAGGGCAGCCGAACCAGCGTAAGCAGTGCGGAAAGTGGCCACAATAGCGACAACGATGAAGAGGAAGATAGTGACATCGAAGAAAATGACTGGGATGACGATGAAGACCCATACGGAGAAGTCGAAGACGACGGCTTCGAATTCGATTGATCGTCCTGAAGGCTACTGGAAGAAGCTCCGTTGTCACTGAAGCTTAACTATGGTATGTTTTTTTGTTACTTAGTGAAACCAATATTGAAACTTTATTCGATTACGGTTAATTTAGCCTTATTTGAACAGCGCTTGAACACGTTCTCGCCGAGTACGAGTACAATCCCACGCACGCAACTTGCAAGAGATTTCACCGAATGTCTTGTATTTTTTGTGTTGTAATATCACTGCGTTCAGAGAACGGAGTTAGCAGTCATCTCGCCCATTGAACCTATGATAGACATGTCTGATTGACCTGGACTTGACCCCAGATAGCATACGCTGATATCTTACTGTACTCTGTACAACGAAATGAGCCAGCAGCGTCGAGCAAGCCCACCATTCATTCGAGTAAATCATCGCCCTCGAATTTACCCGGTCAGCCAAAACGGTAAATCCTCGGCCCCTTCCAACAAAACCTGCCAATCCCCAAACAAAACCACATGGGCCAAGTCCTCGAGCTGCAATTTCTCCACGTTTCCAAGGGTCTATCATTTCCCAAACGGGTAATTCTGAAGCGTATACTCCGCAAACCAGAGGTCTGAGCGATGTCATTATATTTTCCGGGTCTTCGGTCTTCCCGGATTGTATCATTTTAGGAAGAGACGCCCGGTTTTTTTGCGTCAGACAGGTGCCGGTGCTTATATCGGGATGGTTTTGAAAATGCCTCGTCTGAGGTTGTGGGTTTTGGGAAGCGGCTTAATTCCCCGCATTGCGGAAATATATATGAGTGAAACGCAATACTTGCAGTGCCGTGTGTAGTTTGCTAGCAAGAAAAATCGCAATGATCCGCACAGTCGTCGGTCTCCTCGCCCTCTGGGCAGGCGTACAAGCCGCGCCTACACGACGCGACACATCGAGTCCTGCTGTGCGGGTCAGAAACGGAACATATGTCGGCGTAACGAACACAAACTACAACCAGGACCTGTTTCTGGGCATCCCCTATGCACAGCAACCGGTTGGAAACCTGCGGTTTACTGTGCCGCAGTCGTTGAATGAGACGTGGGATGGGGAGCGCGATGCAAAGGAGTATTCGGATAGTTGTGTAGGATATGGAGTAAGCCACTCTCTTTGGTGAGTTAAGTTTGTGCAATACTGATGTGACAGACGGATTCAATCTGGTATCAGATGTCTGAGGCGTGTCTCACGCTCAATGTGATTCGTGATTCATCAGTAGATGAGGACTCACAACTCCCCGTGGGAGTCTGGATCCACGGCGGAGGCTTCTATCAGGGCTCCGGCGCAGACGAGCGATACAACATGTCCGCAATCGTCTCCAACGCCAATAAAATCGGTAAGCCCAGCTCTCTCACGCCACAAATACCAAAGCTAAAGCAACCAGGGAAACCCTTCATCGCAATCACACTCAACTACCGCCTGTCCGCCTGGGGCTTCCTAAGCTCCCGCGAAGTCGCAGAAAGCGGCAACACGAACCTCGGCCTCCGCGACCAACGTCTAGCCCTGCACTGGATCCGTGAGAACATCGCCTTCTTCGGCGGCGACCCCGATAAAGTCACCATCTGGGGCGAGTCCGCCGGCGGCATGTCAGTGGGCTACCATCTCACCGCGTATGGCGGACGAGACGACCATTTATTCCGCGGGGCGATCATGGAATCCGGCGGGTCGGTATCGGCCAGTCCACTTCGTGATGAGGCGTTGGATCAGGATGCGTTTGATGCGCTTGCCAAGGAGGTTGGGTGTGACGGATCTGGGTCTGGGGAGGGGGTGCTGCAGTGTCTGAGGGAGGTGTCGTTTGAGAAGTTGAATGAGGCGCTTAATGGAACGGGGGGTGAGTCAGCGTATTGGTTCCTGCCAGCAATTGATGGGGATTTTATTAGGAAGAGGGGGAGTTTGTCGTTGGGGGAGCATGAGTTCGTGCGGGTTCCTATTATCTCTGGGACGAATACGGATGAGGGGACGTCGTTTGGGCCGACGGGGATTAACACAACTGAGCAGTTCTACGCCTACTTGACAGGTATGTCATCCACTACTAGCTACAAGCACAAAGCAATGCGTACACTAACTAAAACAGGCAACCAATCGGACCCATCCCTCCCCCCCGCCGTCGCTCGAAACATCCTAACCCTCTACCCGGACGACCCCTCGCAAGGCATCCCAGCGTACCTCGGTGACGCCAGTATCGTCTCCAAGGGCCTGCAATGGCGCCGCACAAATGCCTACACCGGCGACTACATGATGCACGCGAACCGCCGACGGCAATGCACCGCGTGGGCCGAGACCTCCACACCAGCCTACTGCTACCGCTTCAACATTCGCAGCGCCGACGTGTCATACATCTCTGGCTCAGCGCATTTCGAAGAAGTCGCATTCGTATTCAACAACATCGCAGGACTGGGATATCACTACGGAAAGCCGTTTACGGCAGATACGCCGGAGAGTTGGGTACGGCTTAGTGAAATGATGGCGAGTATGTGGGCGGGGTTTATTTATGAGTTGAATCCGAATGCCATTGGGTCGTATTCTGGGGATTCCGTGAGGTGGGATGGGTATTGTGATGGGAACGAAGTGGATATTTTGTTTGATGCGAATGCGAATGCGACGACGAGTCGGATGGAGGGGGATACGTGGCGACAGGATGCGATTGAGTATATTAATTCGATTGCTGATGTGTATGAGCGGTAGGAAAGTATATATTGGTGTCAGAGAGCAGTGTATAGCAATTGAACAAGATTTCGAGAGAGAGAGAGAGAAACAGAGAGGCCAACTCACCGTTTGTACCGCCCAAAAGAGTCACTTGCATATCTGGATTCCTGATCCAGAGCAGAACATATGAGACAATGCAGGTTGACAGCTCGACTGTTGTCGCTGATCTACAGTAGCTGTCTCTTTTTGAGACGATTGCTTCAGACCATTTACGTACTTTGAAGGAGGTTTATCCATCACTTATCAGTGGCAATGGATTTGAGTGAGTCATTGGTTAGGAGTATCAGGAATAAAAGATGTAAGATGGTGGTTCTATTTTCGTCCCGATGAATCTGTAGAACAGAGCGTTAGCAACGTATCATGCATTTGTAAAGACTGTGGCAGGGGTGAGAGTACGCACGAAAGACCCATGTAGACGAGCAAAACAGTTTACTCCGTACGAAGTACCATGGCAGTCGTTTGCAGTCTACATATCAAACCCCCAAAAATAAGCAAACTGCATAAGACTTTGCAGCTGCGCTGCACAGTCATCATAACTCCCATCACCTTGGCATCGTATCAATACAATTTTTTTTTTTTTGACTCCATACAGTATATGGATACAACAATAGCACAAATACCGAAATACAATGCTATTTACTCTGTATTACGATCTATCGACTCACCCACTACTCTGAGGACCGGCATATACCAGCAAAATACAACAGGGATGTCTCGGACCGGAGGAAGCTAAGGCCACACGTAAAATGGGGTGCGTACACATCCCCTGTCGCCGTTATGGTGGTAACAGGGTGTACAGATATGATAGATACCAGTACAATATTTGATTAGGATTGACCAGCTTACCAGGTAATGACTCGGCCGGAGCACGGGGCATCCTGTATTTCGAGTCCTTGACAAAGGATGGAGAATGGCGTACGTACGTATCTCAACAGAGTATAGCCATCCGGACGGAATACCATATCGAGAAAACGTTGCGGACCAAAAAGAAGGCTATCGTGATGACGAGCGGGCTAGCTGACCGGCCGGGAATCCGAGATTTAATTTAGTACCATGTATGGCCGTTAGCTGTCAAGTACGCCATACCAGGGAGTTGGAATTTGCAAGGGCCACCGCGCCAGCCAGAGGCTGGGATCCGAGGTCGGTTTCCTGATAGGTAAGTAGATTGATGAGGTGCGTATGGGGAATGTTTCGGAATACACTCCGTATGCTCCGTGATTGTCAAATTTATGGGATGTAAAGTGGCCAACGCGACTCGACTCAGCTGAATCCCGGAAGGATGGAAAGTCCCTAGTCTGGATAGGGATAAATATATGGGGCTTAATATGATTAAGTTAACTGCGTAGTACCATTTTGGTATGCTCCGTTGGCTAGTCTGATGACAGGTGATAGGTAGAGTCAGTAAGATCGGATAGTGACGCTTTCCACAAAGTACAAGGAGAGTATGTACGGGTATTCTTACTGTACATAGTATATAGTAAGATGTCGAGTCATGTCCTTCTTATTGCCTCCCTTATCCCATGTGGTAAGAAAACCGTTGAACAATTCGACGACAGCTTCCAGAAGCCGTCACCCGGGAAATGAGGTGTGAACAGTGGAGAGCAACGAGTCATGTTAGCTGTCATGACTCAAATTGTACCTGAATCGGTGAGGTTTAGTAACTGGCATGACAAAAGGCGACTCAGACACAACTGAGCCGTTCGAGTCGTTCGCGGACCAATGCTGTGTGCACTGCACTGATACTCTACTCCGGATTAAGTAGGAGTCCGGGTATATGGCAACGCTCGATTCATTCATATCGATCTTGATCAATCAATTTCCGGTTTCCCCTGGCCGGGTTATCGGGCTATAATTGGCTGTAGTATAGCTGGGGGGCCGACGCGTCGTTCAGGCGCACGGAGTACTCTGTATCCTGTACTTTGCAGCTGTAGCGTGCGGTACTCAGGGAATATGTAATCCGACTGCAGCTGGAGTGGGTCGAAACTATCATCACAGCCATTGCCGGGTCTGAGACAGTCAAGAGGCGACGAGAAGCTGATATCGATATCGAGCTGATTCGCCTGATTCATGCTCTTGTCCGTGTGATTCGGGAAACCCGAGTGAACTCCGCCACCGGCAGAAGAGTAGAGTTGTGGCGCAGTGTGTAAATCCAGTAAATCCATACATCGTACGAAGTACACTGTACAGGTACACTATGAAGAATGTTCCGTACTCCATCAAGGGTGCACCCGGAATGTTGTTGACTGGGGAAGGAGAATTTCCCGGAGATCTCAGACGGGCGGCCGGAGCGATCGAGGCCCACATTCAGGGGTTTGAACGGCATGGCAGTACGGTAAACCAGACCCCGTAGCCTAGTCAGCCGTAGTAGTGCAATGTACGAGCACAGACAGTAATCAACGCCGTCCATGGGAGCAGGCTGGAGCAGGCTGGGAGCAGGCTGGGAAATGAGGAGAGTAAGTTCCCGCGGGCCAGGAAATTCCCAATATGTCGGGCTGCATGTGACCCACGGCGTTAAACCGTTTTCTGTCGATGAGGGGACCCACCTGTCAACCTGCTGTTTTGGGTCTAGAGATCGGAATGAGATTACCGATGTAGTGTGTACTTTTAGAAGTGCATACAAACACATGAATAGTAATTATTATATGGTTCTATTAATATTGCTATAGCAGACAGCGCATACTATAGTACCCTAGCTCAGTCTGTGCAAATACTCCTTCGCACTGGTACACAGTACTCCGGCACAGCATCATGATCGCTCGGATCCTCCTCCAAAACCGGTCTCCATCCTCGCAAATTACATAAACCCACTCTTTCGATCAGCACTCAATCCATCCCTCCATCCATCCATTTTCTCTTGCCTATTCCAGTAACCCACAACCGCCACTCCCTTCCCTTCCCGCCTAGCCCAGGTTGATCTTGATCATTCCGGAGTTTGAGCGATCTTCCCTACAAAGTACTTACCCTGTACAGGGCACTATGATAGTCCAGAGAGAGAAAGTCAAAAGAGTTAAGCTAGCCCAGTAGCGGCTCCATAGTAATTAATGGGCTGTGATGAGTCCGTTTTGTTACTGGTGTGGTACAGGACGACTGGCACTTAACGTCTAACGGTTTCCTGGCGCTGTCGATCACCATCGGGTTCCACCAGCCTGTGTTCAGTTTGATCGATATTCTGTATGACTCTGTATGTTACAATGGACGTGCCATTGGTTCTGATCAGGAGTCTGCACTGCGTCGTGTTCGAACATAATGGTGGTGTAGGAGTAAGGCACTCTACTCGGCGCTCTGAGTGTGTCTTGTCAAGAGTACTGTAAGACAGCAATATACTCCGTACCCCGAATTAATCAACAGCGAACATCTGGAATTCACAAAGATCGCCACGATTGATCGTACACAAACAGGTATATGCAGAGAGATATACACAGTGCTACATCCGATCCGATGTACTTTTGCTATTTGTTGTCTGCAGAATAAAAAGACACTGTACAATGCATCGGCATTCCTCCGGGATGGCTAGCCGGAAGTCGCGTCCCCATGCTCAAACTTGCTAGCATGGGGCTAACAGGCTATAGCTGACAGGAAACCGTTATGAGTATATCTCCGACCATAGATATCCGACATTTTGGAAAGAGGGGAAATTTTTAATCAAAAAAATCGGTTAGTCTGTCAGGTGATTGTTGTTAACCGCGGTTAGCTCAGATCTGTGGGCCAGGCTAACTGTACAGACAAAAGACTACGTAGACGTGGCTGTAATAATTACGACGAGAGCTATGTCCCATGTGTCCTCAGTTATCTCCTGTAGGAGGAGATTAAGCTACCAACCAGATAAGCAGTTACTCCGGTCGCCATGAAGCTCCGACCAGGTGTGCATGACTCGCATACAGCTTGTCTCCGTGAGTGCTCCGTAGGCCTCCGTAGGCCCCCGTAGGTCTCCATAGGTCTCCGTGGTTGTCCGGGATATGAACAGAGTAATCAGGACAGAATATCAGGACAGAAGAATGATAAGCACCTCGTGACGAGTCTAGTTGATTGGTCTGATCCGCACCGTTGACAAGGAAAGGGCATCGATTTCGATCCATCGTCATCCTCAGGTCCCCATTACGATTATGATGATTGTAAGGTCTGTGCGTTGTTCCGTAGAGGACAGGTATTACCGCCAATCATCGCGTTTTTTTGTTTCTCCTGAATGACAATAATCGACATAGTAATGAATTGGACCCATGGTTGATTTATTTGCCCACGATTCAATATCAGTAATAACGAAACGATCGATGAACCCTGAATTGCTAATCGGCCGACAACGACAACTGTTGGAGATTAAGTTCGTTTTTTTTTTTTTTTTTTTTTTTTTTTTTTTTTTTTTTTTT